TCCAGGTGAGCCGAGAGGAAGCCTCGCCACAGTGGGCGGAGGACAGTGGGAAAGTCACTGACCACGGAGCACAAGCAAGACTTGGGGAGAAGTTGGATGCGGAGGACAGCAGGGTGATTCCTGGTTTCTGGTGCAATCTGAGGATGGGGTTGGCCTTAGGAGGATGAGGATCTCCAGAAGGAGGAGCAGGCTAGTTTCAGTGGGTCTGTGTGGAGTCTGTGGGTGAGCCCTGTGCAGACGGCTGGGTGTGTGGAAGTTAGCCGGGACAAGGGTTGAAGACACAGATCTAGGTGACCTTTGCAATGGATGTCTAACATAGATGAGCTCCCCCAGAGGGAGTAGGTCTCTGAAGAGAGAAGAGAACTCTGGGGTAACACCAGTGCCCAGAAGAAGAACTGGGAAGAGAGCCAGACCCTAGTCTGTCCCCCTCCACACTGAGGTTCTCCTCAAAGCCTCATCCCATGGAAACCCCTTTATGGAGCTCCACCAACCACCCACCCCGTGGGAATGGGCCTTCCCTTCTTTAACAGAATTAGCGCCTTGACCACCAGCACCGCCTCTGGGCACACACCCGTGACTCAGTAAATACTGAATGGGGGAGGCTCAGGAAAGGAGGGCTGAGGGACCTTTGTCCCAAACACCTAGCATTTTGCCAACACACAGCAGGTTCCCAACAAGGTAACTCTTAATGCCATCTGACCCTTAAAAAAAACAGGTACAAAGAAGAAAGCAACAACCCTCCTCCACCCCCTCAGTCCAAACACCTAGAATTGATCAGAGTTAGTATTTAGCGAACTTCAATCCAGGTTTCTCTTTGTGTCTATAGTCAGATAAAAGGCAAGATGGACGAGTAGATGGATAGAAAGGTAGATGAAGCAGTTTTACAAAAATATAATCATACTGTATTGGCTACTTTCATGTGAAAAGCATGAAATTTCATCTTATTAGAATTAACTGAAGAGAAAGATACCGAAGTAAAATGGAAAAATAGCCAGACTTTAGATAAATGCTAATTCATCATAGGAGATAAGAGTTCGTAAAAGGTGCTTCTAAAGGAGAGAGAGAGAAACAGAGAGTGAGAGAGAGTATAAACCCCAGGGGGTTAGAGTCATTGTGTTGTGTGCATGTGTTTAACGACATCTTTCCGTTTTAGATGCCACGGTTGGTTGACTCTGCTTTAGAAAGTCTTAGTAAGTGCAATCCCATCTCTCCTCCACCCACTCCCCAATTTTTGTTGTTTAAACTCTTTTTTCTGTGCCAGGTTTTATAACATTTCGTTCTGTTCTGCAAGCAGCCTTCACCTACTTGCTCTTCTTAGTTCTGCACTTAAACAGATTTGAAGTGAACCACTAGCCATTCTAGCAGTTCCTCTATCACCGTTTTTCCTTTTGCGCGATCTCCTAGTTGGCAGGGTTTTGTCTCTGAGCACTGTTTTCCTGAAGAGGCCGGGGTGCTTTGTTCCCTGAGGTCTTTCGTGCCGGGAAGGATGGTCAGCTGCTCTATACATCAATGACCAGGGAGCACCGATTTGGGGAGTGAAGGCTTGGGTGAGGCAGGAGCGGGGAGCTCCCAGCCGGGGGGGGGGGGGGGGGGGCTCCTGGCCAGGAGCAGGGGAGCCATGGCAAAGACAGCTCTGTCCTAGTTGTGGCCAAGGTGACCCCACAGGCTCACGGGCACTCGCAAGCTCCACCATTTTTCCAGGGCAGGAGACATGGCCACTAGCAAAGAACCCAGGAGAGGCAGGCAGGAGGGCAGAGGCAGGTGGGAGAGGGCTAGGACCACCAGGGTCAGGGGGTCAAGAGCAGTCACCAAGGGACAAGAGAGGCGAGGCTGAGGGAGGCTCTCCCTCGCCCCTGCTCTGAGGAGCGATCACTCCCTGCTCGGGCCCAGGCACCCTCAAGTGCTGCGGGATTCCGGAAGGCACAGCTGCTGAAGGCGGTCGGACCAGAACCAGGGGGGGACTCCTCTCACCTTGCGCCTACGTTTGGAAGGCCCGTCACTGTGCTTAGCTTCCTTGCTTTCCACCTGGAGATGAGAAGGGGCCATGCACCCTTCCTCACGAAGGGCGGCAGCCACTCTGCTGGGGAGGAGACGGATGCAAGGCAGGCCCCAAGGCAACGTGGAGGCACAGGCTCCAAAGACCTCACGGTTCCTGAGCCCCGTGCAGGACGAGAGCCTAACCCGGAGAAGCCCGGGAGGTTCTGAGCCCCGTGCAGGGCGAGACCCTGACCCGGAGAAGCCCGGGAGGTTCTGAGCCCCATGCAGGGCGAGACCCTGACCTGGAGAAGCCCGGGAGGTTCTGAGCCCCGTGCAGGGCGAGACCCTGACCCGGAGAAGCCCGGGAGGTTCTGAGCCCCGTGCAGGGCGAGAGGCTGACACGGAGAAGCCCGGGAGGTTGCCGTGGCCGGCAGCTCCCCTCACTTCGGGGCTTCCCTGGGAGTGCTCTGAATGTGGTAAGGGACCCAGCGGAGAGAAAGTAAGATGGCGTGGCCACTGGCATCTATTTATTTATTTATCTATTTTAGGGTTTTATCAATTTATTTTGTTACAGATGTTTCTCCTTTCTCCCTCCTCCCGATCCCGTCCCCCACCCCTCCCCGCATTGCTGTCTGTGTCCATTGGTTATGTGTACATGCATATACATTCTTTGGTTTATCTCCCCCCCCCCTTACTCCTTCTTCTGAGTTTGTCAGTCTGAACCCTACTTCTATGTGACTGGGTCTATTTTGTTCATCAACTTATTTTATTCATTATATTCCACAAATAAGTGAGATCATGTGATACTTGTCTTTCCCTGATTGGCTTATTTCGCTCAGCATAATACTCTCCAGGTCCCTCCATGTCGTCTCAAAGGGTAAGAGATCTTTCATTCTTATAGCTGCATAGTACTCCATTGTGTATATGTACCACAGCTTTTTTATCCATTCGTCTACTGATGGACACTTGGGCTGTTTCCAAATCTTAGCAACTATAAATAGTGCTGCTACGAACATGGGGGTACATATATTCTTTCTGATTGGTGTTTCAGGCTTCTTAGGGTATATTCCTAGAAGTGGGATCACTAGGTCAAATGGCAGATCAATTTTTAATTTTTTGAGGTAACACCATAGTGTTTTCCATAGTGGCTGCACCAGTCTGCATTCCCACCAGCAGTGTATTAGAGTCCCCTTTTCTCCACACCCTCGCCAGCACTTGTTTGATGATTTATTGATGGTGGCCATTCTGGCAGGTGTGAGGTGATACCTCATAGTCATTCTAATTTGCATCTCTCTGATGTGCAGTGGGAACAGAGACCCACCTAGACCTAGAAGAGGCGGCAAGAAAGGCTCCTTTAAAGAAGTGCTGTTTGGGCAGGTCATAAAGGACCATTTCTGCTGAAAGGCAAGGAGCAGGGTTGGGGGTGTGGACAGGTGTAGCAGTCCCAAAGGCAGAAGGTACAGGGCAACAACCCACGGGGGAGGGAGAGAGAAAGGGGTAGGGGAGGGGGGGTAAACAGTTGCACGTGGAGAATTGCAAATGGCCCTGACTGCTGGGGTGTGGACTGATGCGGCTGGAGAGGAAAGCAAGGGTCAGACCACCGCTGGCCTTGACTGCCGCGCTAAGGATTTGATTTCAGAAAGCTCAGTCTGGTTGGAGTGTGGAAAGGGGTTGCGGTCCCAGTGCAGTTAGGACGCTGCTGCCACAGTCCAGGTGCAAGGTGACGTGGCTTGAGCTCGGGTGGGGCTCAGGGCTTGGTGACTGGTCGGATGTGAGGGATGCATCTGAGGGAGATGGGTGCCCAACTTTCCGACCTGGACATCTGGGGGTGCTCGTTGATGAAATGGACTAGACGGTTGGGAAGGTGGGGATGGGAAGTGATGCCCAGAGGACACCCAAGGGAGATGTTTTGTGTGTGACTGTCTACAGGAGTCTGAAGCTTGGAGGGAACCTCTGGACTGGAGATGTAGACCAGGGGTCATCCACACACAGGTGAAAGTTAAGGCCACAGCCCCCACGTCACCCCCCAGGGACACTATGTGGTCCAGGGGACATGAACGGAGGAGGAGACAGAGAAGGAGCAGGTCAGAGATGTAGGTGAAAACCAACAGAAAAAATGAGAGGATATGAAAAATAACAAGAGCGGTGTTTCAAGAAGAGAAAGGTTACCCACGTCCAGAGCTGCAGGAAGGCCACTGGTGACCTCATGGAGGGCCATTTAGATGGCATCACAGGGGCAGGGCCAGGTGTCAGAGGGAGAGGAGCGAAGGGAAGCCCTCGGCCCTGCCCACGGGGAGAGCTGTGATCTCTGGCCTTCGCACGGAGTCTGCTCCTGCTTTTTGGAAGTTGCCAGGTCCCCCTCGTTTAGCCAAAGTGAGTCTTTGGCGTCCTGTGTGTCTCACTTACCCGGGGTACTAAGCCTACTGTGTCTGCTTGTGCTCTCTGTGTCCCCAAGGGTCCCTGCTCCCCAGCCTGCAGTCCGTCTCGCTGGCCTCGTTGGCTGCAAGGGGGACGGAGCTCTCACGAAGCTCTCGGGGCTCCGGAACCCTGGGCAGGCTCCGCGGGCTGCCTGGGTGCACTGTGTGAGGGCCTCTTTCTGGAAGGGAGGCTGAAGCTTTCCAAACCCAGGCCTCAGACACTCATCACGTGTCCTTGCTGTGCCCCCACCGCCTCTGTCTGCCTCTTAATGAAATAAGTGCAGAACCTTGGACCTGCAGGAGATCCCCGCGTCTTCAGACTGGCCCTGAGGGGGACAGCGCTTTGCCTACAGCCTTGCCGAGGGGGCCAGGGCAGGAACCCCGGTGTTCTGGTCCGGAGACGCGCCCAGCCTGGAGGTCCGTGGGAGGGAGAGGTCCACCATCCCTCTCACTTGTCCTTCCCCAAAGACCCAAGCTGGGCCGCAGGGAGCCTCTCAAGGCCCACAGGTGACCCGTGGGGCCCACTGCCTCATCCTCAGTTTTTAGGGCCTCCTGTGGAGGTGGCCCTGGCGCTCTTCCCTGACTCCCTCTCAACTGCTGTCACAGGTACAAAGGCCATGTTCCGGGTGTGGACTTCTCCTTCGGCTCCACCTACGGCACCACCACCCTCAAGTACTTCCAGGACCACCGCAACGCAGCCCTGGAGAACGGCCACACTCCCTTCAGCAAAGGCGGCCACTTCCCGACAGTCTTCTCCCCAAACCCCAACCTGGCGCTGCGTGACCGTGACCGGCACTACTGGCTGCTCGCGCCCAGCTACACCCGCTTCAACCTGGACAGCGACCGCTCCACCGAGCTCAGCCGCTTCTACCAGGTGGGTCGGGGCCGGGCGACCTCTCTCCCCAGAGAGCCTTCGTTTGCTATTACAGAGCCCGAGCCAGCAGGCACCTGGTGGGTTTGGCAGGGCCAGAGGGGAGGGGGCTCAGGACCCTGCTTCTCTGATCTCCCCTCACCCAGGGGCTCCAGTGACTCTTGTCCCTGATCCCCCACTACTGGGACAGCTCGAGCCTTTGGGGATGTTCCCGCCCTCACCTCTGCCCTGTGGCCTCTCGGCCTGTGGACTCTTGCTTAGCTCCTGCCTGAGTAAAAGGCTGGAGATTCACCCACAGGATGAACTACGCATGCACAGAGGGCCCACTAGGTCCCCGCCGGCTCCAGCCCCAAGTTCCCTCCAACTGTACGTGCCCACCTGGAGCCAGGTGCCCCTCTGACACAGGCTCCACAGGCCTCTGAGGATGTGCCCCATGTCTACCTCAGCCCCAGACTGCACCCTAACTGCCCTCGTGGGAAGAGGCAAACGAGGGGGATCTGCCCACAAGACAGGCATGGTGCCCGGGCACTCAGCTACCTAGTGAGGGCTCCTTCTCCACTTGCTCCTGGAAACCCGGCTCTCCCTCACTTCTCTTGCAAACACCCTGCAGCCTGATCGAGGACATGGGTGCCCAGGAAGCTCCGGGGAGAGGACCAGGTTGATGCCGCCAGACTCTGAGGAGCCGTGGGACCGTCCCTGTGGGCCTGGGAAGGCCTCTGCTCTCCTCTGACTCACACAGAGCGCATTCTGTCCAGCAGGGAGGGACAGGGAGGAGGAGACCCAAAGAGCGTACCCATGACACCTGCTGAGTTGGGCCTCACACCTTCCCTCTTCTGGCCACTTGTCTCATTTACTCTCTAAAGCAAAGCTGGTGTGGTGTGTGCCCTCAGCCCCATTAGACAGACGAGAAGCCGGCCCAGAGAGGTCACCCAGCTGGGAACACCTCCAGGGGATTAGGGGAGACAGACACCACCGCTGCTCAGGTACAGCCAGGCAGGGGCTGTAGGTGCCCAAGGTCACTCCTGCACACTGACAACCTGTCATCTCTTCCTTCGTCAACCGGAGCTGGCACAGCAGCATCGACAGTACTATCGAGACAAGACAGGCATGGTGTCCCGGGTCCCCTACTTCGTGCTGCCTGTGAAGGAGTGGGAGCGGTACCCCATCCCCACCGACCTGTGAGTGCCTGCCCTCCCTCCATCCCTCCATCGAACACAAACATGTCCACAGGGCATTAAGACCTTGACCTAAAGAGCTTGGCCCTAAAGGTTGACAGTTACAGAGCAAGCGGATCAGGGCTCCGGAAGCCTCAACATGCCAGGAACCTGAATGAGCTGAACCAGGAAGAGCGTTCTCCTAGCCAGAGGCACTGGGAGTTTGGGAGCAAATCCCATGATTTTGCTCGGCTGAATCTGTAGGCTTCTTCCCTTGCGTCCGCAGCCTTGCAGCCACACGGGTCCAAACGTGGGTGCGGCTGCTCTGAGCAGCAAGGAGATGCTGCCCTCTGGTGGACATGGAGGGCACTACACAGAGCAGGGAATCCGTGCCCCCATCCCAACCAGACTTGGAAAATGTTCTCCTAGGGACTTGAAAATAGATTTCAAAGTCCAGCTGTCCATATGACAAAATATGAAAGTTCCTCAATGCCCTCACCTCACTGCTTTTATCCAGGAGAGCTTTTTTCCCCAGGGAAGGCACACGGGGAAGATGATCCAGGCACATGGTTTCTCCACATTTCCCTCCTGATGCCCAGACAGGGAGATCAGAAGTCTATGCCATCAAAGTGGCATGTGGGGTAGGGGCCATCAGGAGGTCAGTGGACAGATCTTGGGTTTCCAACTCCATGCTGACCCCCCTGCTTGCCTCAAGGACCCTGAGCCTTGCCATCATCGTTGTTGATAAAGCAGCAATGCTTTCCATAGAGTTTAATGCTTTTTAAAGAAACACATTGAACTGCCGATGTAGGTTCCCTCTGCAAGAGAGATGAGCCCACTGCATAAGTAGGAAAACTGAGGCCTAGCAATAGCCTCGGGAATTTGTGCTAGGAAGCAAGTCTGGTTGGAAGTAGAACCTGGAGGAACCCAGGTCTCCTGATGCCAACTCTAGGACCCTGAGTTAGCCATCTCTACCCATTAGGGTGGCTCTGAGTCAGCCCAAACCTGGGCACAGTGTGGGGACTTTCCTGGGGTCAGATCTCCTCTTGAAACCACTCTGGGCAAGACTTGCACTTCCTACAGCTGTGGGGAGTCCAGGACACCCCAGCTTTGTTTCTTCTCCAAACTGCCTGGCAGCCTATGCTGCTGCTGCTGGCTTCATGCCCAATACAGAGGGCCAACCAGGTGGCTGGGAGTAAGAGGGTCAGTGCCTGCAGTCAGCCCTTTCCTTGAATGCCTCTGTGGCCTGGGGCAAGTTCCTGCCCTTCCACGAGTTTCATTGCCATCATCACCATCACCATCACCATCATCACTATCACCATCACCATCATTACTATCACCATCATCACCATCACCATCACCACCATCACCATCACCATCACCATCATCACCAGCATTACTATCACCACATCACCATCCCCATCCCCACCATTCCCACCATTCCCACCATCCCCACTATCACTATCACCATCACCATCACCACCATCACTATCACCATCACCATCATCACCATCACCATCACCATCACCACCATCACCATCACCATCATCACCAGCATTACTATCACCACATCACCATCACCATCCCCACCATTCCCACCATCCCCACCATCACCATCATCACCATCATCACCATCACCATCACCATCATCACCATCACCATCACCATCATCACCAGCATTACTATCACCACATCACCATCACCATCCCCACCATTCCCACCATTCCCACCATCCCCACTATCACCATCACCACCATCACCATCACCACCATCCGCATCACCACCACCACAGTTACCATCCCCATCATCACCATCACCATCCCCACCATCCCCACTATCCCCATCACTATCACCACCACCACCACCACCACCACCACCACCTCCATCATCACCATTTCTCATAACATTTTCTGAGTGTTTGCTCCCTGCACAGCATTATGTTAAGTGCTTTATGTTTTTGGTGTTTTTTTTTCTTTACTGATTTTATAGAGAAAGGAAAGGAGAGGGAGAGAGAGACAGAAACATCAATGAAAGAGAACATCGATTGGCCACCTCCTGCATGCCCCCCACTGGGGATTTGACCCACAACTTGGGCATGTGCCCTGACCAGGAATCGAACCGGCGACTTCTTGGTGCATGGGTTGAGGTTCAACCACTAAGCCACACTGGCTGGGCTGTGTTAAGTGCTTTAACTGCATTACCTCATTTAATCCTCAGCACAAAGGTTCATTTGATACGTGTACACTTCTAGCAGGAGTTGGGCCAGAATCCATCCAGGTCTGTCGACATCCCTGTCCTCACTCTTCACTTGTGCAAATATAATCTGTGTCAGGTGCAGGGCAGCTTGTCAGATGTTAAGCTGATGAGTGGCCCGTAGGGCCATGGGCCGGGGGATGTGCAGGTCAGACTGTGGTTGGGCATTGTTCACCCTTCCTCCCTGGCACACCGAATAACACTGACTCCTTCCTCACCCCCAGGCCTCCTCTGAGCCCAAAGAATAAGTGGCACCTATTCAGAGTATCCCCCGAGAACCTGAAGACCTACCAGACGTTCCCATCGGGGAAGAGGGTCTCCTCACAGGAGCGGCAGAGGAGAGACTCCCACTTTGAGTTCCGAGCATGATGCCTGAGAGCGTGGCCTCGACCAGGTTGGCTCTTCGGAATAAAATCTTTAGCCGTGACTACCTCACCTCCTCTCCTCTGAGCCCCAGGAGCATTTGGCCACAGCAGGACAGCATCTGAGGGTCACATGGCACTGTCTTCGGGGTTGTGGAAAGCTCAGCCCAAGGGGCTCAAACCAAGAAAAAGTGGTGTCTAGTGACCTGCTCAGCCACCTCTCCCCCTGAAGTGAAGGGGGTCGAAATGAGGGCTGAGTCTCGGTGGCAGGTCACTCCGGTACACAGACGCCTTCCACCTGCGTCCAGTGGCCTAATCGAGGAAGCCCCTTTAGCCCATGTCTGAGAACGAGGGTGAGTGGCCCGGACAGTTGCACTGAGTGTCATATGCAAAGGAGTTCCCGTCTGAGCCCTGGCTCGGCATTGTCTGGTCCACACAATACCCTGTAAGAGAAGTGATGTTGTTGATAGACACTGAGGCTCAGAGAAGTTGCTCAGGCTCACACAACTTGGAAAGGATAGAGTCAGGATTTGAACCCAGGTCTTTGTGACTCCCAAGCCCTAGTCTTTCCACTACATATCCTGCTTTTGGTTCATATGGAGACTGAGGTGCGGGGACAACTCAGCCCATGGGATCCCGAAGGACCCTGTGGTACCCGGGAGAAGCAGCAGACCTTCCTGCATGCTGTCCAGATGGGCATGGACAGGCTGGCTTGCCATCTCCCCCGGGACTGTTTCTAGAAGCGCACAGGAGGGAGTGACCCAGGACGAAGCCAGTCTTCAAGGGGTCTCTCTGTTTCAGGAACCTCTAGGCCAGGGTGGGTGCCAGCAATGGATTCCGCGGGCACATGTCCGAGGTGGCCTGGGAGGGCCACAGCCTGGAGTATCTGCTCTCACCAGGCTGCTGCTTCCCACGTCCTGGGACGCCTCCTGCCTGGGACAGGGGTAGGATGCGGTGACCCCTCAGTGGACAGGGCCTGGGATGGGGACCTTCGGCCAGGTGTGTACCCACAGCGCAGGAGCCCGCCCACATGCCAGGTCTCCTGGATTTGATCAAGGGGCTCCATCCGGCCACAGGGCCTTTGCTGCCTGTGAATGGTGAGCCAGGACCTAAGGGCAAGGGGGGGCACTGCAGGTTTAAGTGCAGAGGGGGCAGCCCTCCCCCTGGGAGCCAGCATTTAGAACTCTCCCCACAAGACAGTGCGAATGAGAAAAACCACGTTCCCATCAGACAGGCGTCTGACAGCTCTCAGAGACCCCAGAAGGGGCTTCTCCTGTGTCCCAGGGTCCATGACCAGCTGGACCCCCAAGGGTCCCTGTGGGGGCCAAATTCATTCCAGGGCTTGGCCAAATAGCAAAGCAAATAAACACTGAATTCTGGTCATACACTGTCACATCCCAAAGGCCTGGGGGTGCCAGTGGGGGCCAAGACGTCTTCTCCCTCGGCCAGGGCTGGGAAGCCGGGCGCCAGCTGGAATGAGCGCTATGAGCATCTCTCCGTACAGGCTGCACAGAGCGATGGGGGGGCGGGGGGGAGCTGGCTCCAGCGAAGGGAGGGAAGACGTATCTTTTCCTGGTGAACTTGACCCCATTTCGCCTGGGCTCTGCCGTGACGACAGTTGGGACTTGAAGCTTCCCTCGAACGGCCATTCCAGCTTGCTTGGCGCCATCAGCGAACTTAAGCCCTAGACGAGCAGTTCTTAATAAAAAATACTTCTGTGTGACCCTGCCTTCAAAAATGATGAACTGAAGGGCAAAGAAAGGGCTCTTCTTTCACTTTATTAAATAAACAATATTCTGTAAGGGAGGGAGGGACAGGGACAAAGTCACGCTTCTTATCAGAGTCCCCTAGAGCCCGGAGGGGGTTGGATTCCAAGTTCCAGAGGTCCCCTCGAAGTCACCAGATCAGCATCCCCAGAAGTGGATCCGAAAGGAGCTGGAAGAATCCATGAGCCACATCGACCTGCAGGTCTAACGCGCCCTGACTTCCAGACTCGCGGGTCCTAGAGCATCCTCCCTTGCCCTTCTTGTGTCCCTTTTTCTCAGTCATGGCCCATTTGCAGCTCTCCCAAGCCAACCCAGAGGCTCCTTGAAGCAACTTTTAGCATCACTAGAATGCAAATGCTGTTAGAACCTGCGGTGCTGGAAACCATGGAAAGAAATGGGAGAGATTCCAAGAAAAACTCAAGGACAGGATTCTGGCCTCAATGATGTGGTGGCCTACTAAGGGAGAAGAGGATTTGCCCTTGCTTGGGGTGGTCCCACATGCAGACCGGCTTACGGAGAGGCTGCCCCAGCCCCAGCCCCTGCGCACGGGTTGGAATGGAGAGCCCTCTTCTCCGCCCAGGCGGAGGGCTGGGCACTGGACCCGAGCTGGGCCAACCGGACCTTCTCCCTCTGCAATGTGGAGTCACAGCTTTGACATTACTTAGGAGTCCCTGAGGGTCCTGCAAGCCAAAGAGATGTAAACTTGACCATGTGGGGAGCCCGTATTTGGCCCCAGGTCCGACAGAGCAGGGATGGCTGGTCTGAATGTAAAGCTAAAGCTAAGTACGGAGTCGCCGAGGGAGGCAGGGACCGGCGCGGGCAGCCAGTCCCTGACCGGCGCTCTCGGAGGCCGAGATGTCTGCTCTCTTTTGTTTGGTTTGTTAAATCATTTTGAACGGGCATTCTTTCTTGCCATGAAAATCACCTAGACTAGGAGAGCGAGGGCAGGATAGGGCTCGGTAGGAACAGACACAGTCCGAGAGGTGCCAGCTCAACACTGCGGGGCTCCACCAGCCCCCCGGGCCGGCGCTCTTCCCACAAACCCGAAGGCCCCGAACGAGACTGCTCAGCACACCAGGGGAATAGGAAGATGGCCAGTTATCTCAGGGCGTTTGGACCAGATGAGACCATGAAGGCCCCTTTCTGCCCGAAACGAGGTTTGGAAATACTTGAGTTCTTCTTTGAGCTCCACCACCAGCATCTTCACACCCCCTGCACACTCCCAGCTCCTAGTGCCCCTGGGGGTGGGGAGGGGAGGGGAGGGGACTAGCAGTGGCAAAGGCTGCTGCCCCCCATCGGTTCGAGCCCAGTGGGCTTGGGAGCAGGACCCTGATGTGCAGCTGCGGAGGGGCAGCCCCTGAAGCCTGGACCACTCACAGCATTTGCAAAGCCTGGAACGCAATCAATCCTCCTCTCGCGTTTTAAAACTCTACTCCCTTGCCCGGCCGGTGTGGCTCAGTGGTTGAGCATTGACTCATGCACTAAGAGGTCGCTGGGTCGATTCCCGGTCAGGGCACATGCGCAGCTTGTGGGCCTGATCCCCAGTGGGGGGCATGCAGGAGGCGGCCAGTAGATGTTCTCTCTCATTGATGTTTCTGTCTCTCCCTCTCCCTAAAATCAATTTAAAAAACTTAAAAAATAAAGCTCTACTCCCTCTTTCTAGGTCATCTCATTTCTCAGAAACTCCAGTTTCACTGATTCCGATAGAATCTGCAAAGTGCCCTGGAAACCCAAGACCCCTTGGGAAGACAGAGGTGCCCGTTAGCTTAGGGGAGACTGGGGGACCCTTCCTGTCCCCCCAGCCCCACTCCAGAACACCTTACTTCATGAAGTCTGGAGCCTTGGCCATTGCATGTTCAAACTCTGAGAACGACAGCATGTTGTCATTGTCCAGATCCGACTCATCCAGGACCTGGAGGGGTGCAGGCGGGGCCGAGAGGAGTCGGTGTGAGAGAATGAGATGAGGGCTCAAGGCGGGGGGACCCTGTATGCAGAGGCTCCCGGCCTGGAGCTTCACACACACCCCCAGAGCCCCCGGAGCCCTGTGCGCAGGCGTTCTCGGGGCCCACTGCCACCCCACCCCCGAAGAGCACATAGACGTGCAGGTAAAGGAGGCGACGTGCACTGAGGCCCAGGACCCCATCCTGGGAAGAGCTCTCGGGGTGCCCAAACGCAGTGAGAACAAGTGCAGGGGGATCCGGGTGACACCCCCACCACTTCTGTCGCCCGGTCACAAGCAGGGGCTCTGCGCTCAAGGGGCCGTCAGGGGGCGAGGCAGTGGTGGCCCTTCAAGGCTTCGGCTCTGCTTCTAGTTTGCACCCAAACCGAAAGCTGCCGAAGCTCACGAGGCTGTCCTGTCGCACTCTGGACCGTCACTCGTACATGTGCCGTTATGTGATGCGGGATAATGTGGGAAAGGGATGGTGCGAAGTGTTCATTTGATGCTCTTGGGCCACCTGCCTGCAATGTTGGTGGGAGGGACCCTTGGAGTGGGCGGCCTGGGCACACTGCTCTGGGGACCCTGGAAGGGAGTCATGGAAGGCAGTCCTGATCGTGGGGGAAGAACAGAAAACTGGGGGTCGTTGTCTCTAGCCATGTGCCCATCCCTCAGGGCACCTCCCTGCCTGCCATCTAGCTTTCGGGTGGTGGCCTGTCCCACCTGAGCCTGTGCAGCCCCAGGTACACACGTGGTTCGTGAGGTCAGTTAGCAGGTCCTCTGACACGTCATTACTGTTGAGCAGTCGGAGGACAATCCTCTGCAGGTCCTCCTCATCGATGAAACCATTCTCATTAAAATCTGCAAAGAGAAGGCAGGACCTGAGAACAAAGAGGCACCAGCCAGGACCCCACAGACGCCCGTTGGCCTGTGGGATGCCCGCAGAACCCAGCCGTCCCAGGTGGGCCTAGAACCTGGCACTCAGTAAGACCTGGCAGGCCTGAGGGGCGGGGCACTGCAGCAGCAGGGCAGCCTGCAGATGAAGGTGATGCTTAATAACAGGGTAAAAAGTGACAAGAAGCAGCAGCAGCATGGATTGTGTGCTACCTGTTCAAACTCGTCTTGAGAGTTTCACCTGATTTAAGTCACTGAATCTTCACCTTTTATTCACTTCACTTTACCAAAGGGAAACTGAGGCACAGAGATGTTATCCACACTGCCAGTGAGTGGAAGGACAGGGATTCAGACCCGGCTCGGCTGGTCCCCGGGCCCATGTCATCCACTGTGCTATGGGAACGTCCGTCG